CAAAGTCTTAATGTATAGTTTATTCAAGAAAGGAGGACAATCAGTTTGTTTGGGGGGAAATGTGACTCTCTGTCCCTTCTGGTGTCTAATTTGTCAAACTAGCAAACACTGGACTCCAATTCATATATACCCAGCAGTTAGTACAACTCCTGTGTGAGGCTCCTGCACAGGCTGGCTTGAGCCAAACTTGAAACGAACTGTATCTCTAGTCAAGTGTTGTGCCTACACTGTAGAGGGCCTTGGTCAGTCTGTTAGAAAAGACAGGCCTGAATTGGCTGTTGTCAAATTCATCATTACTTATTGTTGTGTGGTGGTAGAGAGAAGGAACAGTGGAGTACATAGCAGGAGAACCTTGATCTAGTCTGTGGTATCAGACTGAGATGTAGCATTTGAACAGGGCCCTATGCCATCCAGTATGGTATCTGCTATTCATATGTGACCATTTAAATTGAAATTGAATAAAGTAAAATACAACCTTTTTCAGTTGTACTAGACACATTTCAAGTACTCTGAGCAATCTACTTTTGAACAGCATTGAGCAGGAAATAGATCATTCCCATCATTGTATAAAACTCAGTTGGAAATTTCCAAATTGTAAGTTAAGAGGGTAATGGTAAGTGAGAGCACTCCAAATAGGAAGTAGTCTATGCAAAAGTCCTGGGGTGGAAGGGAAGACAGTGGAGCTAGAGCTCAAGAGTAACCAAGGAGGTGGGAGAACCTCATCTTAGTGACACAGCCCCAGGCCTTGCTAGGACTTGCTAGCAAAAACTGGCTAAGAATATCTTGGATATGACATTTTATACATTATAGTATGCCATATTAACTCTCTCACCCCTAGGCCACAAGTTACAACCAAGTGAAGAGACATACCTGTTGTTGAGTGCTGCTAGGTGTTGCAAGGGTTATCCTCCCCCTTCAGTGAACAAAGACCTGCAATCTGTTGTTACATAAAGAGCTAAAGGAAGTTAGATGTGGTATCACATGCCTTTAATTCCAGAATTAAAGGGGGATGGGGGTAGAGCAGAGGCAGCTCTCTGTAAGTTCCAGGCCTACCAGGTCTACATAGTTCTAGGACAGCCAGGGCTACATAGACATGTTTAAAAAAATAAATAAATAAAAGCTTAAAAATGAGATAATAGATGGTTATATATAGGATGTGGAACCCCTTTTTTAACTAAGAGTGAGCTCATTCATACTGAATGTTGGGAGCTGGATTAGAAGGAGCTCGCCTCATCCACTGTCTGCAGCTCCATCCCAGCACATCTTGAGCATTGGGTACCAACATTGATTTGTGAGCCCTGAGAATGATCTACAGGACTTGATAAGGGGCCTCACAGAAGTTTGATAGCTTTTTAAAAAATTAATATTGGGGATTTTGTTATAGGTTTCAGTAAAGAATATGAGTAGTAGGATGTGAGGCCTTCCAAGTCAAGTAGAAGGTAAAGCTGAAAGCATGGCTTGCTAAAAAGCTGTAGAAGGCTTTGGAAGTTGGACCTGATTGTATTAGCATCAGGGAGCCCCTGAAGATTTCAGGGGAAGCGTGATTCACTCTTTTCTTTTCTGAAGATTATGCAGTTCAAAGATGGATTAGACCTGGGAGAAAATGGAGAAGGAAACACCAGCTTAAGGACATTTCTAGTAGTCCTGGTGGAAGATAACATTTGGACTGATGACAAAACAAAATACTGAGTAGCCTACTACATCCCTTCATAGCCATTCTACCCAAATTCCTACAATGTCTGTGAATGGCCAGTATAAGGGAACTGAAGTCCAACAGGTAGAAAAAGTAGGAAGACAAATCACCAGTCCCAGGCCTTAGCTAAGATGACTGCACCCCTTTGCTGCAGCCTGAAGAGTCAATGGGAAGCTGATGATGCCAAGAGACGACAGAGGCTAGGGACCCAGCACAAAGACACAATGTAGGGGTAGGCTGAGGGAGGGCAATGCCACCCTATCATTCTACTTACTCCCTGTGTATTCCCTCCCACTCATTCCATATGTAGATGCTTGTTTGCCTTGCCATTGAGCTAAATCTCATGCAGTGGATGGGTATCAGTCTGTCCCCTCCTCCCCAACCTGGGTCCTTTCCAACTGAGATCAGCTCCTAGCCATGAAGAATGTGGTCCTAGCTCAACATTATTCCAAGCAAAGCTGCTGCTGTATTGCCCTTCCCAAGCTCATTCACTTGTTCTTTAATTCTTCAGGAAGTGCTGCACTGAGGGATCTGGGCTAGCAAGAGATTTGGTAGACAGCAGCCCATGGCAGAACCACATACATGGTCCACAGGCCTAGCTTAGTGGTCAAAAGAGAATTCACAGATGGGGGGACATCTGGATTCCCTTTCCTTTACCCCAAGGCAGTGGCTAATTTGACGATTAAAGAAAAATACCTCACTCTACTTCTTTATTATGAAAATAACATGCCTTTTTATAAAGGATAATCAAAACAATCAAGCATCCTTACATAGTTAACGGTTGGTACATGACATTTCTGGTTTTTACTGCACATTTATATATTTACATGAGTTAGTAAATGATTCATGCTATAAATGTTGCTCTGCAACTTGAGTCCCCCATCCCATCTATCCCCATCCCTATCCTACCCCCACTCCCTGTGCCGCCACTGCTATGTGAAAGTATTTGAGGAATATCTTTTCATGTTGTTTGGAATTCTGCCACTCCCAACATACAGCACTTTATCTTAAAGCTGTGATCATTTCATAAACCCTGGTCATATAGATATGGACAGTCTTTCAAAGAGTAAGCAGATGTCTACAACAGGACAGGTAGGGACAAGAGACAATAGCTATATGCATGGGCTGGACTGAAGAGTGATTTCATATCAGTGGGTCCAGTATAAGATCAAGCAGGACAGCCTGCTCGGCCTCGCCTAAGCAGCCCAGCTCTTCCAAAGGTGGTGATGGAGAGGGCCCAGGAGCCAGAGATTTGGCCAGGATTAAAATGGTTGTATTTGGTTATTCACAATATTACTAGGACAGCTGTGGGTAGATGGCATTAAAAGGAAAGTCAAAGCAGACAGCTTACCCAGAGAATGAATTGAGCTGTACCTCACAGGGCCAAGGTCATGTACATTGAATGGTGAGGGCAGGTGCGGGGTGGTGTTGATGAGATGTGTATAGCTAAGAGCAGGGATGAAGAGGTACAGAGTCTGGCCTGTGGTTCAGGAGCCAGCTGGATGGTACTGCAGTGCCCAAGATGGATTGCAGAGGAAGAGGGCTGCTGTAGAGAGGAACTGTTGAGCAGTCTTATGCCCTCTTCCCTTTTTTTTTTTTTTCTGTCTTCCTCCTGTGACAGGTGATTAAAGGAGGAAGCCATCCTCATTGACACTTCTTTCACCCCAAATTACCCCTGACAAGCCCCTATGTAGTGATTTCACCAGCACCCCAGGAACACTCAGGGCTAGTTCAGCTTTAGATGTATGATGGCGGGTTATTTAAGCCTTCCATTTTCTTCCCTTGCTTTTATTTAAGAGACAGAATGCAATTCTGAGCTATTAGATACACATAGACACACAGTTTCAAAGTTTGAAGTACTGTCAGGTCAAGACAAAAGCTTCTCCATGGCTCGGGATGAACAAGGTCTTCAGAAGTCTTGGCCTAGGTGCTCACAGCGTGTTAGGAGCCTGGGACCACTTGGCTAGCTTCAGACCAGCGGGGGCAGACAGGAAGGAGCTCTTTTCTGTTTGCTCAGTTATCATCACTGACTCCTTCTTTGTGTAAGATGGTAATGAGGCCATTAGGGGAGGCTCACCTGAAGTGCAGCTTGTGAATCCAAGGTAATTAAACACCTCCTGAATGAAAGGGAAAGGCCAGGGAAGGTTAAGTGAGGAATAATCCGCAGCACAGGTGGCCCAAGGCCTTTGAGGAACCAGAAGAAGAGCGACAGTGTAGGTACTGTTTAAAAGGATGGAAATGTCACCCACATCCTCAAGAGGGACAAGGTTTTTATTATTTGGGGGATGGGGAGTAGGTAATATTTTTTTTAACATTTTAGTAAAGCGTATTTTTTCATACTTCTGTCTCAAGTTGAAAATCCATGGCAGAACTTACCTGGGTCCAAGGGACATGCATCACTCCTCAGGGGCTCTCAGTCCTGCGGCCTTTGAGTCTGTGGTCCCAGACAGGGAAGCACATCAGAGCAGTGTATGTGCACTCACGTATGCACACACATATGCACACACACATGCTATGACAGATGCCTAACTACTTTCAGATAAAAACTGTTCTATTGTCTCTTACTTTATAGCAGCTAGCCCCCAGGCACTTGTTCCTGTCCCTTCTGATGTTAATATAGTCCAAGCAAATAACCTACCCTTCTAGTAACCTCACAGCAGTATTCCCTTTACTCAGTTAACCATATTTTAATGGTTGACTGTGTGTTGGCATTGTGCTCTGTGACTTCACAGATCCTTTCAACTGATCTTCACTGCACAAGGTCCAGCAACAGAAGACTTTCACTATTCAGGTTCTTGCCTCCAAACCAATGCTGTCTCCATACCATGAATCCTTATAATAGCCCCAGTATTCACCACCCCAAAGCAGAGACTGACAAATAAAATGTGGTATACAGTAGAATATTATTCAACCACAGGAATGAAGACTTCATATATAATATTATAGAAAACAGTGATACATGGAAGAATCTGGTCCTGTGATTCTAGGCACATGACTTACGCAGCATGGGCAGGGCAGGTAGATGGTCAAGATAAGGGTGGGACATGATGTTTCTTCTGGAGGTGGTAAAAATGTTCTAGAATTAGATGGTTGTGATTGTTGTACACTTAGACACCAAACTGTACTCTCTAAATGAGTGCATTTAGAGATGTGTGAAACATACCACAGCAAGCCCTAATGCTGAGGACATTTTTTTCCCTACCAAATTGACCCCTCCTGGAATTATGTAAGGCTTTCTGGGTGCCAGGCTTAGCAATCTGTCCCTCTGTGACCTGCTCTCACACTGTCTTCCTTCTCCTGTCACCAGATCTCCTCCCTGAAGAACAGGCTGAAGAAGGTCTCTACAACCACAGGTGATGGTGTGGCCAGAGCCTTTCTCAAGGCCCAGGCTGCTTTCTTTGGCAGCTATCGGAATGCGCTGAAAATTGAGCCGGTGAGTAGCCTCTTAGTGTGTGAGTATCCATGTTATTTACCCCAAGCCAGGCCCTTCATGGTTGTCCAGCTCTCAGTGAAGGCTCAAAAGTCAACTGTGAGATAGTGATGATCAGCTCCACTTTCCAAATGAGGACACCAAGGCTTCAGGGAAGAGAAATGATTTACCAACAGTCCCAAAGCTCATGATTTTGTCCTATGCCTCACTGTCCCTTGTCTTTCAAAGGGTTCCCTCATCCTAGAGATTGACTTTTTGGTGGCTCCTATATATATAATCATGATATAAATGACAGCAACACACAGATGGGACTGAGCAGTAGCATTAGCTGCCTGCCTAGCCCTTCCACCTCCCTGAGCCTGGTTGGCCATTCATTTTACCTGCCTGCCCTGTGAGGTGATGTTGTCATGTGGGTACAAAGAGGTCAGGTTCTTCCTGAAACCAAAGGCAGTTCCACCAGTTCTTCCTACTTCCCCTGGAAGCTTCCCACTGATGTCCCTCCTGATATCTCTCTACCCTGGCAACCTCTGTGTCTTTGCTGAGCAAACTGCATATGTAGCCCAGGCAGACTGTGTGAGCGACCAAGTGTAGTCATACTGATCTAGATCAACACAGTCCATTTCTAGTTTTCCCCTTTCAGGTCCACTAATGCCTATCAGCTTAAAGCAAGTTCCTGTGTCCTGCTTGTCTAGAGGAGAGCTGGCTCCAACTCTGACATGATCTTGGGCCCAGACAAACCAAACAAGTTTTAAGAGTTGGTGTCATTAGGGAAAACATTGTCCTCACCTCTGTTTAAAAGGAGAGTTCCCAGAGTTGGTGGGACCCAGCAAGCTGGACACATTTTCACCCTGGTACTTACCTCAGTTGTCACATGCATTTCTAGAGTCCAGGTACATATTGCTAGATATGAGCTGGACACATGAGCCCCCAGAAAAGGTGGTTTTGGTTGGAATTGACTATGACAGGCTCTGGATTAAAAAGCAGAAACTCAGGAGTTTAAAGCCTGGCTCTGTTCTTCTTAGCTGTATAAAACTTGAACAAGTCACTCCATGAGGTTAATTTTGACCTTCTTCACCTTCAAAATGTGAATAAGCCTCCTTGCCTATTACTTCTTGTTGCTGTGAGCATCACACAAGCCCTAAAATGTGTCATAAGAAAGGTAAGACCTGCATGAGGTCTGCTGAGTGAGGCTTAAAAGAACAGAACAGAAGCACCCCACCCTGCTGCAAGTGTGGGCTGTTGAGCATACCATGACTTGGTGGCAATACTGCTGTGTCTGGAGGAGGAGGATGGACTGAGCCAGATGTGGCAGAGGCTTGGATGCTGGTCTGGGAGTGTGCACTTTACTCTGTAGGAGCATAAGGTTCCGAGTGGAGATGTGATACATCTGATTGCAGATTTGAGCAGAAGGTTCCATGGTAGAAGAAAGGACTTGACCTAGTAATAGATGAACTACAGTAGACAAATGGCATATAATGTCAAGTGGCTTCTGAGATTGAGAAGCTGAGAGAGGATCGTAGTACCTCTGGTAAGAAAGGGGAAAGCCTGATGCCATGGTATTCATAACCAGTGGGATTTGTAATGGAGATGAATTGGCACAGTTCACAGTAGGCATTGTATCTGTGTAAGTCCACATCATACATACTATATAGCCATTAAAGCATTATCTGAAACTAATGACAGGTTTGGCTGCAGGTGTGGCATATTTCCTTGAATCTAATTGTTATTTGGTCACAAGATACACTTTGTTGTAAATGCACCTTTGCTGTGGTATTAAAGAAGAGAGAGCACGACATCAATTATCAGATACATCCACGTTTCAGTGGGAAGTTCTCATCTTAGAATCAATGAGATATGGCAGAACTGTCATGCTTTCAGTCTCATTCATCTGTGCAAGGGTGGCTTTTCTCTGTAAAGCAAGGAGGGAAACCATGGAGGTCTGAGGTTCCCCAATTAAGCGTTGTGCCGATAGTGGTCACCTTGTTACCTAAGTGGGTTTTAAGCTATAAATTTAATTCTAGCGGTTTCTCCTCATCTGAAAAATGGAGTAGCACAATTCCTCATGCAAAATTGTTTAAAATGAGGCCAGGTGGTGGTGGCTCATGCCTTTAATCCCAGCACTTGGGAGGCAGAGCCAGGTGGATCTCTGTGAGTTCAAGGCCAGCCTGGTCTACAGAGCGAGATCCAAGACAAGCACCAAAACTACACAGAGAAACCTTGTCTCAAAAAACAAACAAAAAAAAAAAAGAAAAAGAAAAAAGAAAGGAAGAAAAAAGGAGAAATTGTTTAAAATGGCTACAGAGTACATGTGAGCATGAAAAGTTGCTGCAAGGCTAGAAGAATGGCATGTTAGGTAATGATCTGAGGTATGGGGCAGGTGAGTTGTTTCAAAGAGACTTCCCCTAGTTGAAAAGGGAGAAGATGAGAGAACAACTCTGTCTATCCCTCCTCAGTGGCTTCCCACAAACTAGGGCGTGGTTCCAAGCCATGATCTTCCCAATTTGCCTGACCTTTGCCTTGCCCATCTTACAGATGGGGCAAAGGCTCTCCTTGGCAATGACTTCCCAAAATGTAGGAGAGCCAGGAGGAGACTCCAAGACAAGGTTCCTCCTACTGCACTCTCCTGCCTATTTTTGTTCTAGTTCTTATGTGTTCCATCCTAATAATTCTTTTTGTTTCCTGTGCCAAGTACAGGCCATGGCACAGAATGTAGGTGTCAGCCAGTGTATTTTGGACCATTGGACAGAAGAATGGGTGTGAGAATTGAATGGATAGAGCAGTGTTGGAGACAGGGGTTGGCCCTGGGCCTGTGTTCCATGTGCATGCATTGCTCCCTGTCCTGTTGGGAGGCTCTGGAGGTAGCTTCTCCCTGGAAGAGGGGAGGTGTCTGCAAATCACAAGGGCATGTGACCCACTTTTCAGTTACCTGGAAAACATCAGTGGCAAAGCCCAGGGTATTTAACAGTGTTGGCCAAGCCAACTTGTTCTTCCCACTCAAATGACAGAACCACAAGCAGCCAGGAAGCCCCGTTCGGAGAACCTCTTTATCCATGTCAAGCACAGCACAGGCTCCAGCTCATTTATTTAGGCCTTTCTTGCTCTCTGACACGCCTCCTGGTAGTTGCCAGGCAACTCTGAGAGCAGCAGTGTGTATTGGGGATTAACTAGTTAGGGCTGGGGTCCTTTTTGGCAAGAAGGGGATAAAAGACAAATGATTTTAATTGCTAGGCCAAGGGTCCATTATCTGCTTGGTAGAAGAATGCAACTTTCACAGGGTGGGACAGTAGTATGGTTCTTGAGTTTGCCTTGAATGGCTCCCCTCTACCTCCTAGGGAGAAGCATGCTTTTAAAAAAGATTATTCTACCTTGCTTCTTTGTTTAAAATGATATCAGGAAATCTGAGCAAAACTGATCTACCCCTTTTGAAACTCACTGGACTCAGTTTTAAAGATTTGTTCCTTTTGTGCACTCTCTTAACTTCTCTACATGGAGTCACCTCGAGGCAGTGCATGTGAGGGTACATCTCCTATATTTGGCCACTGTGGATCTTGGAAATATCTGCTCAAAGAGTAGAACCTGGGTACATTGGCACCTGGAGAAGTTGCTTGTTCTGTTTGTGGAACATTACAGGTACTCTTTATTCAGTTAGCTAGTATGGCCCTCTTAGGGCCAACCCGCTGGCCTGCCTTCCCTGAGATGACAGAAGCCCAGATCCTGCCCATAGTGCTGGGGTGAACACTATAAACATGCTGTGTGAACATGCAGCAGTCAGCTCAGTTCCATCCTACTTTCCTAATCCATTATAAGTTCCGATGAGTGACACTTGTGTCATCCACCTTACAACCCTTGTTTTTGCACATGATTCTGTTGAGTCATATTTATCCATCTAAAAACCCTCGAAGGCACAGAAGTTAAAATAAAGGCAGATTGATAGCTTGGCTTTCAAGCATGAATGCACCAGGCTGTGTTGCAGCAGGTTGGAACTGCACCACACGCATCAGAATCCTGCTTGAGTAACATTGTTGATCTCCTGGGTTTGCAAAAAGAAACCTGTATTTTATGTTTACTTTTAGAGTGATGGAAAATAGAAAATTATTCTTAAATAGAAAAACTAAAACATCACCACAACCCCACCAGTATTTGTGTGTATTACATTTACTTGTTTCCCATGATTCAAAGGGTGTCCAGAGCTCAACAGATTAAAAGTTAAAGTCTATTTCTCCCACATTGGTGGCATCGTATACATTTTACACAGCATGTCACTGAGTATGCCACAGGCATTATTGCCCTGGCCCAACACCCCTGCTAGGCTGCTAGGTTGTTCCCACCTTTTAGTACTTTAGTTAATACTCCACCAAACATCTCTGTGAATAAAGCTTTGGGTTGCTCTTATTCCTAAGTCTTCTGGGTAAAAGAAATTCAAGTGTGTGCAGGAGCCTGACTATGGGGCCAACTTGTCCCAGTGTAGGGAAAATGCCAGTTTCAGCTGACTCATATGAGAGGGACTCATGAATGGGACATACCCAGGATCCTTAATGGGCTGTGGTATACAGAGGACTCCTAGAGCACTCACAGGCCAGTGACTAATTTCCCATGTTTCCATCTTGAGCCAAAAAGGACTTGAACAGCCTTAAGACACTATGCTCAGCACAGATGAGAAAGGAGGAAACCGAGACTGGAATGTGACCATGCACAGACCCTGTGACTATCCATACATCTTATGAATGAGGAATCCTGGAATGACCCCTAAATCTGTCTTCAAGCTTTTTTTTTTTTTTTTTTTTTTTCAGTTGTAGAAAATGTAAGCTTTGCTATTCTGACCGTTGCCAATTGCACATCTCAGGTGTTGCTGTATTCACAGGGCTTCACAGCCATTACCACTGTATGTTTTTTCAGTCTCTTATCACTCTCAACTGATCCTGAATGTTCATTACCCAGTAACTTCCCATTTCTATCCCCTGCAGCCCTTAGTAACCTCTAATCTACCATCTGTGAATTACTCA